AAATAGTATCCTCTTAAATGAAAATGGATATATTCGCTGCCGTAGTAAGATACCGGTGACATTCAACTAAAGTTTTTACTAGTCATTTCAAAGGTAACGTAGTAGAAAAGATAATTAATTATATGCAAAACACAACATATTTAAGTCCTTTATGCTTAGTAAAGGTCACAGGAAAAATTGAAGCATATGGAGGGGAGTAATTATGAGGACCGCGATCCACTCCAGATATAATGTTAGATAGACGCTTATTTTCCAAATAGTATAATGAGTATGACAGATCAATTGGTAAACTAGACGAAGAATAACCCAAAACATAAAATAATTCAAAATAACTTGAGAGCTAGGTAGAAAACGGATAATTAGCTTAATACATCGCTCCAGAATATAAGATGGTAAAGCAATCCAGATAGATCCATTTACATGAGCTGCCTCGAGCAAGGCCTGCACATCAGTGCCATCCGCAGATGGTTCAGTTTCCCTGTGGGGACGGTCGACACTTGTCTTCTCGTTAAACTTTGCAGACAAACACCTGAAATCGCTAATATCTCGCTGGCCATTGGCGAGAGGTCCACAAGACTGCCGACTCAATTCACCACCGACTGTTCTGTGAAGAGAATTCCAGCCGGTCTGGTCGAGCGGCGGAGGTGATGAAGGGCCGAGGCCAACCAACTGATCAGATGGATCCTCCGCAGCCCAGTAAGTGGTCGCAGCGGCGACACCGATGGGAGCCGAGACCGACGTGGTGCTAGTGGATGGTGTGCCCTGATGTTGCCAGGTCAAGCGACGGACATCAACGGAGCTGCCGGCCTTTGCAGAGGCCCAAACATGCAGCTCACAATCAGACCCTGTCTGGTGAGGCGACAAGCTCAGCTGAGCCGCCGGAGGGCTGAATCCACCTGGCGTAAGCAGCAGCAAAGTCTCACCACAAGCCGAGCATTGGATCGGCTCGAAGCCAGGTCCGGTAAGTAGACTGTCGCCAGGACAAGTTACGTGGCAACCGGGAAGCGAATGAGATGGGGTAGTGGAGCCTGGGGACATGCTAGTTCTGCCGAATAGAGGATAAAAGTTGTCGACATGAAGTCGTATTTCATCCAGTCAATGAAGGACAGAATAAAAGCAATAATGCTTGTCAAAAATACAAA